GATCCTCAACTGCTGCTGATGTAGCTTGCTTAGGTGATGGTGGACAGGATGGGGTTCTAGAGCATGATAAAAGTATTGTGTTTGCCACATTAGAAGTTTGCATGTGTTTGATTGTTCGACAAATACCAGATATGAATCCAACACCTTTAGTATCATCAACCAGAAAATTACATTCAAATTGTTTAAACCATAATGTTATCGCTACAACATTAAATATTATGGCCCAGCTTCCAAATCTTTGCTCTCCGAGTGGTAAAATTATTTCTATTTTTAACACGCTTAGTAGGAAATACATTCATAAATGATACTTATTTTATCTTAATTGTAGGAGGTGTTCAGATACTTCCAACAATTGCATATTTAATAACCAACGTACTAAAAGAATTGGGAGAAACTAATAGTTCTAGTGAAACGTCCAAAAATAAAATTTCTATTGTAGCGGCTTTGGACGCTTTTCATGTACTCTGTAAACATTCTTTTGGATATCACAAAGTATCTGAAAGTAAATGGAGGTCCCTCTTACAAAGCACAATTGCCAAACTAATTGATATTTCTAAAACTGGTAATTATATGATTAAATTGTTTATATTTATGAATTATATAAGAAAAACTTAATCATATACATTAATTTTATTTAGGAGACGAAGGGAAAAAATTAAATGAAATAACTATGCTATCTGTTATCACTGTATTTACATTACATGCACCACCTGGTGTTATGTTTGTTCAAAATATTTTATACCCTTGCATTAATTACTGTACACAATGTTTCGGAAGTGATAATATCTTTGTGAGTATACAATAAATAATAAGGTTCTTGTATACATCATTACAATTTAGAATAAAGATAAATTCTAAAAATACATTTATATAAATATTGACTATACTATATACTAATTAATTTTCATTTATTTGTGCAAAACAATTATTTATTACATAGGTGAAAACAAAATGCATTCAATTTCTTAAAGCTGTTTTTCAACATGAAGATAAATATATTGCAACAGGATACATTCAAGCATTAGCTCCACGCCTTATGGAATTGTTATACGTGGATATACCAAACAATATGTTGGAATCTAATTTGATAATGTTATGTGAAGCAATTAGTGCAATTGAATGCTTGGTTCAATTGGCACAACCCAAACACAGTAATTTTTACAAACATTTTATTAACTTTAAAGAGCATTTAAGAGAAAAATAAAATGAGAAGAGCTTAGAACTACTTAAATTTAAGTGTAGCCTATCAGTTATCCTATCTGTATAAATTCTAGCAAATCTTGTTAAAATAGTGATAGTATACTATTATTAATGTAATACAGTAAAAATTGCTGAAGACACTTTTCAAAAGAGTGTCTTATGCGGGTATTGACTTGTATAGTAAATGTCTAGAGACCTGCAGAAAACAGTGTCTTAAGCGAGTTTTACTGTATATAGTAATTATTTTGCTATGTACTTTTTTTTTCATTAAAAAAATGTATTAAGTTTCCAAAAAAAAAAAGTAGCTTATTTATTTATTTGTAGTTTAAAGAAAAATATATAAAATGAGGAATCACATTTTTTTAGAACTCAGTTTATATTAATATAAATCATATTTATTGTATACCTTATTTTATTTTCAGGAACTCAAATGTTAGCATTGCTTGTACCATCCTTAATCAAATTTCTTATAGACCCAGAATTGACAAAATATGACACTGCCATATCTAAATCACGGTCTAAACTTCATGAGTTTAGTTTACAGTGTTTATTGAAAATTGGGCCGGTTTATCCACAGGTATATTAATTATTATTTGGAAAAAACATTTTTTTTTAAATGTATAATGTAATTGTTTATTGTTTCAGGAATTCAAAATAATCATGTCTCAAAACAATAAATTGAAAACAAAATTAGAACATACCATTAAAACTACTAAATCACAACAACAGTTTAACTCTGGTTGTCATATACCACAAAGTATAACGAAGTCAATCCAGCCTTCTATCAAACTGAAAACAGATTTCACTAACTTTAGTTAACATTAAGAATTATATCTATAATATGACTGTTAAAAAGTTATAAATATTTATTATTTTTACTAGGACATTGATTTTAATTTATGTGTCACAGAATTATTAATAGAATATATGTATTAAGTTACCGATTCTATGCTGGACTGAAATCATTGTTTATTCATTTTTTATTTTTGAAACATTTTTAAATACAAAAAACATAGTTAAAAATGAAATGATTTTATTATTTACAAAGTTTATTTATAAACTCAATGGGACGATTTAGTTAATATCGGATTTGTGTCTTGGGCTTCAACGATTGGTTTTGAATTAACTTTTTGCTCAACAAGTTTGACGGATGGTTTGTATCCTTCACACTCGGTTCATGGTGTTCGCCTTTGTATTAATGGTATTTTGTTGTGTTGTGTGTCATTTTTTTACATTGAAGCCACCCCAGGTTCCTTGTCATTATAATTTCTAAAACCTACCTGTCCTACCTATCCACTAAAGCCCCCCCCTCAAATATCAAACGCTATTAACCAGTGGCGTAGACAAGGGTGGACGTGGGGGTTACGTATGTCAAAAGTTTTGAGAGGGTGGGGGATTTTCCAATTTTCCCCTGCCATTTGGGTATGACGTTTTCTTCCCCCCCCCCCCCTTTAGAAATGATATCTACGCCACTGCTATTAACGCCCATGACGCCTATGATCTTAATTTGTAGTTGTAAAGAGCATAGAACTATTAATTGGTAATGGCTTGATGGTAAAGATGCTTAGTCTTTAGAGGATTGGTCAATATTGTTAGCAGTTGTATAAGTCCTATAGTTATTAGTTATTATAGCAGTTATAGACTTGTAGTAAGCAAGTTACTACGAAACAATAAAACCAATTACACAGGTGCATAGTTATTATATTATACGGTAGACCGGCTAGTCGGACATTAAGAACGGAAATGATGGGTTAGGTTTCCTCCTTCAAACCTAAGGAGACAGGCTTACTGAATAGCTCAGGATGAAGGGTTCAAGAATAGGCGGATGTAATATGTACAGAAACACTGAATACGACAAAATACAAATATAAAAGAGTAAAATGATTATTTTAATAATAATCATATTTTGGTAATGCGTCAATCGTTAATGCGTAGGCTGGAACGATGACCATACAAATTACATCCGTGACAGTCTTGATACAGTATCTATAGGCGAGGAGTACGGGGAACCTCATATAGGCAGGGAGCCCGAATCGGCCTGTATTCAGACGTGTACTACCACCCATTAGTGCAAGCACCTTCACGCCACTCTGTACAACAATATTTTGAACTTAGTAAAATTATCGAGTGTTATAATAAAATTCACCATATACAACAACTGTTTTATTATTCATTCAACAACCACGACTTCAACATCAGATAAAGTGTCTGCGACCTGCACATTAACGTACTGGTAGCCACTTATCTACTATTATCACTACAATAGTGGGTACCAAGCCAGTAAGCCACCAGATCGTTACAGACTTACAGCTATATTCTGATTTCTATTTTCTATTAGTAATAAATAATAATTATTCACGAAGTCCCATCAACGGATGGTCTCTTCACTCATCCCCCATGTCTGAATTGATGTAAATACTTGTAATTATCAAACTGTTTGTTACATTACCCTATTATTTTGCCTTTTCTATACTTGTTCTTTTATCACTTGTGCTTATTGTAAACCATTATATTACAGATTGTACAATATTGTCTAGTTTAAAAATAAAAAAATAATAAAAAGTAATTATTAATTAGAACAGTCAAAATAATACTCGGTACGATATATTATACGTAAATGGTAAACTTGGTAAAGTACGCGATCTTGAATCTTGCTAAACATCGTTTTCCCATAGATAATTTATTATCTATGCGTTTTCCTATCTTTAAAGATTACTATCTTGGTAATTTAAATCATGAACTACTAGTAGTTCATGATTTAAATCACGGACTAAGATATACAGGACTGGACACGAGATGAATATTGTGGTTACGAAATGTTTTACAACAGGCGGAGTTCGGGGGGATATTTTCCTTTTAGCATTACTAGCGCCGTCCTAGTGGATACTTATGGAACTAGAAATTTGTATGATGTGTTCTAGTTCCATAAGTATCCACTAGGACGGCGCTAGTAATGCTAAAAGGAAAATATCCCCCCGAACATAGCCTGTTGTAAAACATTTCGTAGTCAACCCCCCCACACCCTCCAACCTTGTCGTGTCCAGTCCTGTATATCTTAGTCCGTGATTTAAATCATGGTATACCTAGTACATGATAGTATATTATCTTAAACCGAGGTGGTTATCGATTATCACTTATCAGTTATCAGTGAACAGTTTATCACAATAAATTTCTAATTTCCGTGTGCGAAGAACCGTGACGTGAAATATGGAATGTGGATTGTCGATGTGTAGTGTGTATAAAATATAGTTATAGTAAAATGTACAGAATACAGCGTGATTTGAAATCGTGGAGTATTGTCAAATCAAGAGTCATACAAAATATACAGATTACAGATGTGCTAGGCTAATTATTATTAATAAGTTATTGTTAATTGTTAATTTTTATTACTTGTTAATTGTTACATCACAGTTCATAATTATTCATACATCATACTGTTCTACAATCCGTCAATATACATCCCACACATAGGTATTACACATGTTTTAACGAATTTAAAACGTAGGTTAGTCCAGATGTACCTAATACCCACCCAACAAATTAAACGTTACGACACGAATCGTTTTTATTTAAGTAATTTAGTGGGTTTGAATCAATAAACAATATTACCGTCTACGACAATTTGTAAGGTAGTTTGTTTAATTATATGTACCCACATCGCACAGACATAATTCATATAGGACTGCAGACTAATACGTTGTATAATAAGTACATAGTGAAGGAATTCCAAACTTAATTCAACTATTTCTTATATTTTGGTTTAAGCAAATAATTCTGTAATCTAAATTTATTTATGTACAATGGTAAGTTGTTAAAAATTTTATTTGTTAAATTTAATGTATTTGAATTTACTGTATCTTATAATAATAATCTGTTGAATACTTATAGGTAAATTAATATTTGTTCATTTATTTAGGGTTCATTAAGATCCTTGGCATATATTTCTTCTGGAGGATTAATTTTATGGGCAGGAACGAATGTTATTACACTAAATGAAAAATTTTACAAGAAATATGTTATTCCTGCATTCTTTGCTTGTGATCCAGAAACAGCTCATGACCTTTTAACATTTTCTGGAAAATATGGTCTTATACCAAAATCATTTTATAAAGATCCACCAATATTGGTAAGTTTAACTTTTTATCATCTACCTATTTATTATTCTCATTATTTCAACAAAGTAGTATCATTGATTAGGTATAAATACTAGTATTTTCAATCAATAGTAGTATGAAATCTGTAATGTTAAACTTTTTTTTAGAAAACCAAGTTATGGGATTTGAATTTCACCAACCCAATAGGCCTTGCAGCTGGGTTGGATAAACAAGGCGAACTGACAAAAGCATTAAAAAATGTAGGGTTTGGTTTTGTAGAGGTTGGTTCAATAACACCTCTACCTCAACCAGGCAATGAAAAACCAAGAGTGTTTAGACTTTTAGATAGTCAAGCTATTATTAATAGGTAATAATTGCACTCAGCTTTAGTAATAACTATTAATTTAATGTTATACATTTTATAATATGTTAGATATGGATTCAACAGCGATGGCCATAGTGTTGTGTTTGAAAGACTTAATAAACTTAAGCAAAACCAAAACTTTGAAGGTATTGTTGGTGTTAATTTGGGAAAAAATAAAGAGTCCGAAGATGCAGTTGCTGACTATGTGAAAGGTATTGAAAAGTTTGCTCCAGTTGCTGATTATTTTGTTATAAATATATCCAGGTAAAATAATTGATTATTTTACATTCAAACCTCAACTCACATTCTATATAAATTAACCTTAAAAAAAATTGTCTAGTCCTAATACTCCGGGTCTGAGAAATTTGCAAAAGAAAAAGGATCTCATGAGTCTACTTTCAAACGTTATAGAAGCGAGGAACCAAGTGTGTGGAGAACGCAAAATTCCATTATTATTAAAAATAGCTCCTGATCTTACTGATCAAGATAAAAAAGATATTGCTGATGTAATTAATGATAAAAAGGTAAAATTATATTTTAATTTAATAACGATTAAGCCCACGATTAAGTTAAAACTGTTCTAAAAAAAGTGTTTTTTGATTTTAGTGTAAAGTTGATGGATTAATAATCTCAAATACAACTGTTAAACGAATTGGTGTTTACGACAATCCCAATGCACTAGAACCTGGTGGTCTGAGTGGGAAACCTTTACAAGAAGAATCTACAAAACTAATTTTGGAATTTTATAAATTGACAAATGGTAAATTATAATAATAGTACCTATAATAGCTTAGTAAAATTAATTTTATTTAATAAATTCAATTTTATTATTTAGGTAAAATTCCTATTATTGGAGTTGGAGGAGTATTTAATGGTCAAGATGCATATGCCAAAATTAAAGCAGGCGCTTCACTTATACAAATTTATACATCTTTTATATATAATGGCCCATCGGTTATAGTTAATATAAAAAAGGAACTAGAACATCTTCTTAGGTAATAAATATTAAAATTTATTTACTTTATTATTAGCTTTTAGTACATAGTCTTAAAACAGTGGCGGCTCGAAATTGTGTAGGTTTTGAAGAATATTGTATATTTTAAATATTTTTACCACATTACCCTTCATTGAACCAAAATTAGCAGCAGGGGTCATTAATAATTATTAATTATAATATTTACCATGATATTTTTGTTGAGGTCTTACGGTTATTTGTATATTTATACACCCACCCACCCATTTCAGACATGAAGCAATTGCTTCAAAGTCCTATATCCAGCCGCCACTGCTTATAAACAAGAATATTTTATGGAATAAAACTATCAAAAAATGTATTACATAATAAATCCAGCCTCCAAAAGAAAATAGATTGATAGTGGAATTGGAATTTGTAATAAAGGTGGAGTGGATATTAAAAAAAAAAGGTGGGCAAGTGGGTGTCGCTCTGCTGTACAGTAGGTTACAAGTGGGTCACTGTATAATGGATGCTTTTAAATTTGAATTCAATGATACAATATCATTGTATAAGAAAAACGATTCTGAGCGAAGACGGTATGTCAGTCTAGGTTTTAGACAAATTATATACATATCTATGGTATTAAAAAAAAAATTGACTTATAATAAATTCCAAATTAATCATATCACATTATCACAATATCCATTAGGTACTTATAACATGTTATACATCACCATCAATAACAAACCCTGATACTATCATAGATATATAATAGTACACTTTAGAAGTTTCAAGTAGGTACCCACGAATAAAATTATATAATCACAACAAAATAACTAGGTTTTTTAATATGTAATTTCGTCCAAATTTGAACATAAAATGACTATAAAAATAAACTGTGATTGTATAATTTTTAGATTTTTCGGTAAGAGAATTAATTACTTACGTGGAATCTTGTTTTTCATTTTCAATCCTTAGCTATAAAAACTGAACATTTTATAATTTATTAATTACGATGATTAATCATTTTCGAGATTTTGAAAAATTCTGTCAAAATTCGATGTTTAAATGCTTATAAAAAAAAATTGTGCCTATGTATTTTTAATATTTTTCAACTGATATTGTAACAATATATCAGGAGCCTTGTATTAAATTTTTACACTTTTTGGCCCAACAGATAAAACTTTATTGATATTCATAGAAAAAAAAACTAAAAAAATTGAAAACTGAAAATGTCCGTAAACAGCTCAAAAAGAGTCAAAATATTTTCAAAATTGTATGGTGTATAGGAAATGCTAATATAAACATTCAGTGAAATTTTCATGTATGATGTATCTATAGTTATTCGTTTATGAATAACAACAAAATAAGGAAATCGCTACATGAGAAATCGAGTGAACATCCAATGATGTAAAAATTTGAATTTCATACGCTCATAAAAATTTAATTTGACTGTCCGGTAGAGATTTTTTTATTGATAAAGGTAGACAAACTTATGAGTAATCTTGTATCACATTTTCAAATCTTAGATTTAAAAAGAAAAATTTTTACGAATTCTTAACTCAAAATAATTTGCTAATTTTTGTGATTTTTCCATATTTTGTCAATTTTTGAACTTTAAATCCTTATAAAAAAAAATTGTGACTAAGGATTTTTAATATTTTTCATCTGCCTTTGAAACAATATATTAGGAGCCTTCAATTAAATTTTCAAGTTTTCGCAACCAACAAATACAATTTTATTGATATTTCTAGAAAAAAAACTAAAAAAAAAATGAAAAATGAAAATGTCCCTAAACTGTTCAAAATAAATCAAAATATTTTGAAAATGTTATCGTGTATAGAAAATGCAAATATAAACAACCAGTGAAAATTTCATGTATCTACGGTCATTTGTTTTAAAGTTACACCAAAAACCAAATTCAATTTTCTAAAAAATTGATTTTGCGTAAAAATTCCCGTTTTTCCTTAATTTTTCTTTTGTTTTTCTTTGCGCTTTTGAAAAGTACTGGGAATTATAAATGTTGACCTCCCCAATGCACCAACGATATTCACTTTCCAATCGAACAAGATATTGAAGTTGAAAATCGAAGCATTATTTCGATTACTTATCGTGTACACAGACACAAAAAAAAAAAAAAAACACACATCCTTGTAAAATCAATACATTCATCGTTCCACTCAGAATCTAAAATGTCCTTAAGAGAGTCAAACTAAATTTTTATGAGCGTTTGAAATTCAACATTCAACATACAACATTGGATATCGATTTCTCATGTAGCGATTTTCTTATTTTGTTGTAATTCAAAAACGAATAACTGTAGATACATGAACATTTTACTGAATGTTTTTTATCGATTCTTATACGTGATAAAATTCTCAAAATATTTTGACTTGTTTTGAGCTGTTTACGGAATCGATTTCCTATTTAAATTTTTTTCTTTGAATATTAATAAATTTTTATTTTTTGTACCAAAAAGTGTAAAAATTTAATACAAGGCTCCTGATATACTGTTACAACAGCAGTTGAAAAATATTAAAAATACACAGGCAGAAATAACTATTAAATTTCAAAATAATAATTAATGCGGTAGGTAGTGGCTCGGATATATAATATTATATAATCACTTTTTAGATTGCTTGCTAAGACAAAAATAAATATTTCTACGAAATCAATATACATTTTAAATAATTTCTTTTTGCTTAATTTTTCGTTTAATGATATTCTATAAATTACTTTTTACGTTATGTTTTGTTTAATGATATATTTTTTTGATCGTTATGTTTTGTTTTGCGGTATTTAATTGTTTTCCGTTATAATTACGTTTAAGAATTTTTTTCCATATATTACGTTATTATAACATTTGCAAGCCCTATTTTAATGTTATCATAACACTTTTATATAACCATATTTAGTGTTTTAATTTTTATTTATTTGCATTTTTTGATTTTAGGGAAGATAAATACAACTCAATATCTGATGCAATTGGTGCAGATGCCAAACTGTAAAGTATAATAACTATATTTATTTCAAAATTTGGAAATTTAGAATATAATTTTTTTTTATTCACATACATATTTTATTATTATTGTATTACATACATTAAAAAATATTTTATACAGGTATTAAATATAGTCAATAACGTTGTATGATTTTTAATTAAATTGTTTTTTTTTTCATTGAAAGGGTATCAATACCTAGGTATTTTTCTTTGAATTGTTTGCAATCACTAAAATTGTGTTTGATAATTAGTGTGGAACTCTTAGAGGGTTACTCTTTGACATCAGAAAATCATATTGGGTCTGTTTTTACTATAGTTAGGCAGGTACCCAGTCACAATGCTGTAGCCCAGGGGTGGCAAATGTGGTGCAATTCTAATTACTTGCCTACATTTGTTCTAATAAATAGAGAAGAGTGAAAGATAAATGCATTTTTTTATATAGAATAAGTTAATTAAAGATTTACAAGAAATATTCATAATTTAAATCATTCTTAATAAAATGACACCAATTTTATTTTACTTATTTTTGTAGAATGACATACCTATTTTTATATATTTCACTAATTTGTAAACTAAACTTAGACTTTGATTTTAAACTGTGACTTCTATGGCAATTGGAAAAATTCAAAATATTATGCAAATTGAAACATTGAAAAATGATTAAATTTTCATCTCAGTGAATTTTAGGTTTTCAGCACATACAATTTACAACATTAGAAACAAAAAATATATCCATAAATGACAGTTTGAAAATCGTCGAATCAGTGATGAAAAAATTAAAACTCTTAAGAAGACAATTAACAAATAGGAGGTGTTGTAAAAAAGAACATTCATGCTGTTACCAAAAAACATCCCGGCTTTATTAATTTTAAAACAATCAATAAATTATTATAGGTAATGATTTAATATTTAAGTTGCATCGGTTGAAGCGGATGAACGTTTGTTAGCTGTTTTAATAATATTTTGAGACTTAAGAAGTAACATTTAAGGGGGCTGCACCGTAGCATATTTTAAGGGGTACTATTTAGGCAATTCATGTGACATATAAATTAATACTGTATCTATGTGTGAGTAGTAAATGAACATTGGTGTGCCCAATCCGTTATCGTTTCCAAGAATCGCTGCATGTCGAGTCGGGCAACCGCGCCGGAATCAACTCTCACACGCGCACGCACTTGTCAGTACATCGCGAAAAATGAAATATATATTCTTGTTTGCATGACTATAAAACTACTAAAAGCGGTAGTAAATTAATCATACTTCCCGAAGTTCGATTGTAATTTCGAAAAAATAGTTGAATTTATAAACTTCTAGACTATGCTTTTTAGGAATCACTTTTTTTTATTTAAAATCAGATGTGCCCAAAATAAATATAAATTTAATGCATTTATTTCATGGGATTTCTAAAACAAAATTGGTTATTTTAAATTGAAAATTGAAAATCGACTTCCTAAGAAACCTAGATATTTTATCAATGAATTCAAACATGTATAAAAAATTTAAATCGGACATTCCGAACTTCGGTATCCGAAGTATGTGTAATTTACCACCGCTTATCGGTCTAAAACGTATGAAAACTATTGAAAAGTACGTGGGTTGCAGCCCCCTTAAAATAAATTAATATTATTCAATGCAACACATCGCATTTGAGTAAAAAATTAATAGACATAAGAACATTTTGAGTGTTATTAGTTTTTTTTTTAATAATTGTTCATACAAAAGTTTTTGCACTGTCAAAAAACTTGAAAATTTAATACAACCTTTTCATAAGTTATAGTTATGGAAAGTAAAAGCAATGTTAATTAATAATTTTTTATGAACGTCTTAAGCTAAAATGTTGACAAAATTCACTAAAATCACCAAAATTGGCAAATTATTTCGAGTGAGAAATTCATAAAAAATGTTCTATGTACCTACATCTAAGATTTGAAATTTGTATACGTGATTCCCATAAGGTTTCCAGGTTTTCCTACATTTAGCATTAAAAAAAGTTTACCGTAAAGTCGAATTATTTTTTTACGAGCGTTTGAAGTTAAACAGTGGATATTCATCTATATTTAATAATTAATGAATTATCATACAACAAAATCAGACAACGCTAACTAATTTTGATTTTGTCAAAACAATAAGTAAATAATTGTCGTGAAATTTCATATAATGAATTTTATATTGTCATCGGGTCAATCGAGATATTATGTCGTATTGTCGTCTGCATATTTTACGTGCTTGAGCGGCACCCGCATTATATTTCAATCACACTAATAGTCATTTATAGGTTTACCACTAACAAAGATCCCGAGCGGCTAAGACGAGATTAGGAATTGCTAAATAGTAAATGTTGCCCTTAAAATATAATAGCCGTAGCGCCGATGATGATAAAGTCAGCTCACAGTAATTACAGTTACCTACTTCCACCAAATTTCCGCTTATGGGCTAATTCGAGAGCTTGAAATACAGCCCATAATACATATCCATGGTACTGGTACTTAAAAACTAAAAAACGTTTCAAAATATGTTCGGTACAAAACCGAGTGTACACCTCTGAATGGCTACTGAACGACAGAATAAAGTGGGCATGTCCATTCCATCGTATAATATATAGTGAACTAAAAATTAATATACATTAATTCAGGGCTCGGGACTTAAAGCATTTGCTTATTTTTTAGATTGACTTAAAATGTAGCAGAGTACTATAGAAGTGTATATCATGTTACAACACATTCAATTATGAAATTTGAGAGTGCTTTTTTTTGCTTTTTTCAGTGATTTTTCAAAAAAATGCTTATTTCAAGTTTTTATGATATTTATTGCTTTTTTGACCAGTTTTCATACTTTTTTATGGTTTTCTACTGCAAAGTTGTTTTTGATAGAATTAAAATTAAAAATAATTTAAATAAAAAAATTTATTAAAATTTATTAAAAAATTATTTTTTTTCAACTATTTGTAAATATTGTTTACATTTTATTTTTCAGAAAATCCCATGGAAAATCCATAAAATCCTCAGTCCTGAAAATGAAGTTTAATTTTTTTTATAATATAAAGATAAATTTTTATTTTTATTTTATTGTTTTTTTTTTTTAATAAATATTTTTGCTTAAATTTAAGTTTTTTAAATGCTTATTTGAGTGCTTATAATGATGTTTTTAAGTGCTTATTTAAGCGCTTATTTTAATGATTTTAAGTGCTTTAAGTCCCGAGCCTTTACATTATTATAGGGCAAAGAAGTTTCTATTCTAAAAACGATTTCTTTTATTGGATTTTTAGTCGTAACTATAAGCCAAGCCTATATAAATGTTATGATATAATTATTATAATAAAGATATTTGTCTTAGAAAATTCAATAGAAATACGACCAGGACAGTGGCGTACGCAGGATTGTTCAATGGGGGAGGCGAGTGGGGGCTTGTAGAAGAAATGCTCGGATAATTGATTTTCAGGAGGTTCTTGGAAGCAAATTGGTAGTTTATTTGTTGTAAGTTAGAATTTGAAATTAGGTTGAGAGGAGTAGGTATAAGTGTATAACATTTTGCAGGGCACCACACCACTCCGTTCACCCTAACTTTAAATACTAATCTAATAAACCACATATACAAGTCCAAAATTAAATTTTTATTTATCGAAGTACACAAAAAAATAATTTTTCTCATAGGAATAAGGAATTTCAATATTACGAGTATATTACTATTATGATATTTGTTAACATAAATCACTATTGTACACTAATATAGGTATATATATATTTCTATATCCATATAATATGAATTTACTTTTTAAATCAATACATATAGGTAGGAACTTGTTAAATATAATAGTATACCTAGTAAGTATTATTTATTAATTAAAAACATACAAACATTTTATACAAGATAAAACAAGATATAATTCAGAAAAGTATTTCTGGATAATTGTCGTGAGTCATTAGTTATTATGATAAAAATGCGTATTATTAAATCAAATGATTGCTCAACAAACTGTACCAATATGTTGACATCGATCTTGAAAACAAAGAGAAAAAACAAGCGTATTGTGTTTTAAACTTTTCTACAAAAAACTATAAACTTTTTCATGCATTTTAAACCTTGCTTAATTTATTTTGGTCACTTAATATATAGTACAAGTAGGTAGTACAATAAAACAAAGAATAGAAAAACAATTAATTTGTTATGATACAATATATAAATAATATTTATATTTTTATGTTATAACTTCAGAAAAAAAAGGTGCTCTGCTGTACAGTAGGTTACAAGTGGGTCACTGTATAATGGATGGTATTAAATTTGAATTCAATGATATAATATCATTATATAAAAAAACGATTCTGAGCGAATACGGTTAGTCAGCATATGATATTACGAAGTATATTTGACGATACTAAGGTGAATAAAATAATTTATATATAACCTATTTACGTGGAATCTTGTTTTAAATTTTCAATCCTTAGCTATAAAAGTTGAACATTTTACAAATTTTTAACTACAAAATTATTATTAAATTTTAAATGTGATACATTTTGTCAAAATTGGAATTTAAACTTTAAAAATTAAAAAATTGTGCCTATGTATTTTTAATATTTTCCAACTGCTATTTTGACAATACATCAGGAGCTTTGCATTAAATTTTCACTCTTTTACACAACTAATAAAATGTTAATGATATTTATAAAAAAAATTGAAAACTGAAAATGTCAGTAAACAGCTCAAAAAGAGTTAAAATATTTTCAAAATTGTATGGTGTGTAGAAAATTCTAATATAAGCATTCAGTGAAAATTTCAAGTATCTTCAGTCATTCGTTTTTTAATAACAACAAAATAAGAAAATTGTTACATCGAGTGAATATCAAATGTTGTAAAAATATGAAGTTCAACCGCTCATAAAAATTTTATTTGGGTTTCTTGTAGACATTTTTTTTTTGATAAAGGTAGAAAAACTTATGAGGAATCTTTTATTACATTTTCGTATCTTAGATTTGAAAAGAAAAATTGAACATGAAATAATTTGCAAATTTTCGTCATTTTTAAGTATTTTGTCAATATTTGAACTTTAAATGCTTATAACAAAAAACGGAGGATTTTTTATATTTTTCAAATGTCAGTGTAACAATATAGTAGGAGTCTTGTATTAAATTTTCAAATTTTTTTTACTCAACAAAGAAAGTTTTATTGACATTCATAGAAAAAAAAAAACTAATAAAATTGGAAACTGAAAATGTTCCTAAGCAGTTCAAAATAAATCATAATATTTTGAAAATTTTAACGTGTGTAGAAAATTCAAATATAAACAATCAATGAAAATGTCACGTATCTACGGTCATTTGTTTTAAACTTACACCAAAAACTACAATCGATTTAGCGTAAAAATTTCCGTTTTTCCTTAATTTTTCTTTTGTTTTTCTTGGCGCTTTTTAAAATTACTGGGAATTTTAAATTTTGACTTTCCCAATGGACTTACGATATTCACTTCCCAATCGAACAATATACTGAAATTGAAAATCGAAGCATTATTTCGACTACTTATATGGTGTACACATATACAAAAAAAAATATAAAAAAAAAACACATCATTGTAAAATCAATACATTCATCGTTCCACTCAGAATTTAAAAATCATGTACAAGTATTGTATATTTGTATATAACAAGTTTTAAAATGAAGTGGCCTATCAATGGCTACTACTTCTGCATAATATCATGCTACATTCGTTGACGATTCTGACATGGACTAGGTATTACCGTATTGGCAGTGTTCGGACTTATCTAGATAAATTTTCTTGCTCATCTTTTATCTTATCTAGATAAATAGTTACAAGGTATCTAAACGGTCATCTTAGATATTTTTTTTACTAATCTAAATGAATTCATCTAGATAGATTTTCTATTGATAAAAATCGCGAAATTAAACAAACGCATTTTTAATTTTTATTAATTTTAACGGTTTATTTGTTATTTCATTAACAAATAATAATAATTTTTACATAATTATAATAAAAAATACATGAAACATTTAATCTGGTTGTGCTATATTATACTATAATTATTATAGTTATTTAATTATGGTATAATATAAAATAGCTAGGTATTAGCTATAATGCTGTAGACTGTATGGCAACAGTAAATAGAATAATAAAATAAAAACTACATTGTTTGGTCAGATTATTTTAAATCCATTAAAAAAAAAAATTGTATCTTTTTTATATCTAGATAAAAAAGTATTTATCTTTATCTAGATAAATATGAGTTAAGTTATCTTTTATCTCTATCTAGATACATTTGAGTTGCATTATCTTTATCTTTATCTAGATACAAAAATACTTATCTAATCCGAACACTGCGGTATTGGTGATTCCGCAGTAGCGTATCTAGGATTTTTTCAAGGGGGGATATACAATTTTTAATAGACATTCAGTATAGGTATACAATATACATATTATGTTTATATTTTTATATACATGTGGTATTGTGCACAACATTTGGTCTCCCGGTGGGGGGGGATATGACCCCCATACTCCCGTAGATACGCCACATGGGGCTGTACAATTCTACAGAATCATAAAATGTTCCGGATTTACATCCACCGATGATATATAATAAACCGTATAATGCAATAACACCTGAAATTGGTTAAAATAAGATATATTGCATTAATCAATTTAATAACCAGTAAGGGCTTACATTATTACCTAGATGTAGGTATCAAACCTCATATGATATATACCAATAATTATATATTTTATGATTTATAAAATAAGTTGTTGATAAAATTAAATACAATTCATTAGGTAACTTAAAGTTAAATTAACTTGACTTCATATTGTGTACATTAAATATTGAAATATGTATACGACAAACACTCATCCATTCAATCAATAAAGAGCTTAATCGGAGACCTTTTAATGACAATTATTATTAATTTAACGAACTTTTTTGAACTATTATTTTCAGTGTACGAGGGTGGCATGGATATGTCTTGACGTGTTGAAGGGCCGTGCACAGGGGTGCGGGGCGAACTGGTTTACAGGTGGCTTGCGGTTGGAAACTGGTGACATTGGTTGATGGGCGAATGTTTTTAATTCTATTTATTACGACTTAAATCACTATTAAAGATAATAAATATAAGATAATATTAAATTCATCGGCTTACTGCCAAAACTCATTTTTTTTTTAAAGCGCTTTCTAGTGTATAAATTTGAGCTCTATAATTTGTGTAGAGGCACTAACATCGAAATCTCTATATAAATCATGTTTTTTAGCTTTTTCAATATTCATTATTAGGTACTGTATTGTTTTATTGTAAGATGTAAGAATTAATTAAACTGTTTATGTGATATAAAACAAAAAAAAATTATAATATGCTTTTGTATTACCTATAGGAAAAAAAGATAAACAAAATCTTAGAGAAACTTTTCAATTATTTAAAACACCATTTATCAACAATTTCATTTTTACCGATAATGAGGTATGGCAAGAAGCCGACGAGTATAACTTTATTTTTGGGGTATATCAAAGCACCGCAACAAGACATTCGCCGGAAAAATCTCTTCGTTCGGCTCCACAATGAGCGACGTCGTCTAGGACTAACCGCGATTACCGTCAGCTCCATTTCTTCATCACTACAACCACAGCCGGTTACCGGATCTTCAATAAATTCAGCAGGTTCTGCTTGAGGGGGTGCTTGAGGGAGTGCACCTTGCAGGTTGACATGGGTGGATGAATTCTGATTAATAGGGAGATGTGAATTAAGCGTCTCATTAGGCCAATAATCCTCAAAATGTGTTTCTGGTGGAAAATATTTTTTGATATTATCAACACTGGCCACTGTACAAGAGTCACCAGCAAACAATTCATCTCTGATACCCTGCATTTTACAACGGAACTTGAGATGAGTAGAAGAATTCTGATTAATAGGGAAATGTGAATTAAGCGTCTCATGTGGCCAAAAATCCTCAAAATGTGTTTCTGGTGGAAAATATTTTTTGATATTATCAACACTGACCACTGTGCAATAGCTACCAGCAATCAGTTCATCTTTGATACCTTGCACTTTCCAACAGAACCTGAGATAGGCTAAGTTCCAATCTTTTATTTTTATAGCTCGATCTATTAGGTGTTGTTTTTCCTTTTTAAAGTAGAATAGTGGTACATATTTTTGGTTATCTATAATACAATATGGAACAATAGATTCAAAGTTATTAATTTGTATAAAACCGCACTTTTCATCTTGACCTTTTTTATTTATGCATAGTAATCTATTATAACATACATTTATGAATGTATAAAATTCATAAACATCTTTTAAACTGACAATATAATCTTCTCCTGCTAAGAACCTCTCTTTCCCAAATGTAAAATTACTATGTTCTTGATTAATGACATTTAGTATAAGCCTTGCTTCATCATCAGTGATATAGATCCATCCCAGAATCGAAGAGCATATATACATATCTAAATGTACATATTTTAAATAGATATTAAGGAGCTGAGTTACAGAAGGCGTGGAAGGTACAAGTTCAACTATTGCTTTCCAAAATAATCTACCTATATTGTACAAAAGAACATAAATTATAAATTATTTCCATGGGTAATTTCAAAACATAAATTAATTACCGATTACTTACCATTTATACTTTCATTACGACATTTTTTTACTGTATTCTTTCTGAAATCCATTTTCGCTAAAAACCAATAAATCATATTATATTATGTTTAAATATTATTTAGAAAATATCAAAATACAAAGAGACCAAGATCCTAGATGTATTGATTTTACAAGTATGTGTGTGCGTAAATCCATAATAAATGTTCGTGAGTTTCTAAAATTAGAATTTTGACAAAATTCATCAACATTTTTACCAGTAAATTAACAATTTTGTTTTAATTCAAAAATTATTTTAACAGCTCTCATTAAGCACTGGCATTCTTCATGAAGCAACTTAAAATGATTTTCATCATTTTTAAAAATTTCACGACTAAGCCCTGTTGTGGGAAAAACTTTATTCGTACATCATAAGACCAAATATTAACTGATAATATTATTGAAAAACCCGCCAAAAGTGAAGATGGGGTACCTGAATTGCCTATCTAATACGCCGCGTTAACATAATTCTATTATTGAAATTTGAAATATTGAGCAGCGCTGACCCTGTAGTTAGGTATCAAAATTAGTAATTACGTGTATCAAAGATACAATTTGTATCTTGAATCGTGGTACATAGTTTTAAAGTATCAGGTATCATGTATCATGCTATATGATACGTTTTATACAAGTATCATGTATGATGTATCTTATTTTGACAAAAGATAAAAGATATCTCAACAAACACAATCCACCAAACTCCGTGTAAAAAACGGTAAGTACAAAAAAAAAAACAGCTCTAATAGTTGTGATATCATTTTATAGCTAAGTCATTGAACTATATATTATATAATTTATGTTAAAATATTCTGCTAAATAATTGAACGGAGCTTGTTTACTTTAATACACTTAATTAGTAATACACTACCTACCTATTTCATTGATAGTAGACTGTATTATTCTTATGTACTCATTATTGATTATAGTAGGCATTTTTTAAATTTTTAACTTAAGTCTCCAAGCTAAGTTCAATTATTTGGCAGACTATTTTAACATAAATGATATCTATAGTTCAATCGTTCAATGACATAGCTATAAAATGATATCACAACTATTAAGCAGTTTTACCTTATCCTTGGTTTTTCTTTCTTTCAGTCAATTTATTAAGGTGTATTAATTTGTATAGTTATACCTATGTGTTGTATGTGTAAATTACTATATTTTTATTTTCTTATTTGAATTTTTACAGTATTTATTTGTACATTTTTTTTATATTTAGTTTTCCACAAAGATACATATATTTATACATATCCATAACATATTGGTTATAGTATTTTATAGTTTTATTACAAACTTAGTAAACGAACTGATGACACAATAATATGGTTAACTGTATATTTTCATCAAAATATTATGAGACATCAAGAGCACTGAAAAAAAAATCTTATAAATCATTATTCACAATATTATAATTTATAATATGAACTATCTAATTTTATAAAAATATTAAGATTATTGGTCAGTAAATAAAAATTGCATGCGCCTTGGCCAAATATTTTTATTATCATTGATCATCAGTGCTTCTGTCGTCATAATTTTTTGATATTTTATCAACAAACTTATCCATAAAATATGTACTATGTTTTATTTTTGGTAGCTTTATCTTAATTTAAATACGTGAAGGTTATAAAGTAACAACCTTGTTTTTGACTAGTAGGTACTTATAGTTATCAATAAGGCTATATGGATCATACAAATTTGAAATTATATTTCACATTTCGCAAACCAAAATAAAATATAAGTTGAATTGGTAACTGCAAATTCACACATGACAATTTTATTCAATTAATCAATTATCGATCTATTTTATTAAAATGCTACAAAACATTTAAAAATATTTATAAAAATATACTGTAATATAGAAATATGGGCAAAAAAACGGGGGGGGGGGGGGGGGGGTATGACCCCTAAAAACCCCGGTGGGCGCACTTGATATCGATGCGATTCAAAAAGTGGGTAGGTTCACTTCATTTTTGATAATATTTACATCAGCCACGTAATGGTCACTAATAAAGGAGTAATCGTCAAATTCGGAAAAGATCGGAGCGGGTGACACGACGACGATGGGGAAGTTAGATCAGTTTGAATATTATGTTGAGTAAAATGAAGAGTTTGACCACACATTTTTAAAAAGGACTTGAATTAAACCGGAAAAATTGAAGTCTCATGGTAATATTATGAAAAAAAAACCATGCGCTATTAAAATTGCACTAATATTATATTAGGTATTAAACACTTTCAATCTTACAACTGATAATTCCATAGTACCTATACTCAAACACTAAGTATTGTAGACTATTAAGATTTAAGTTCCTTCACCGCCTATTATAAAGATACAATATGGTTCTAATGTCCTACACTCGACATATGGCAGATTGGCAGTTTGACACTCTTATATCCATACATCCTTATATCAATAAAATCCATGTAATGTATTTTATAAACAATGATAAAACGTATTACCGTGTGTCCGTGTATAAAATATTACGTACCAATATTAAAATGTAATTTCAAACATATTGACTTTCAGTTAGTTTTAGATTCTGTGCCAGTGTTTTTACAATAGTGTTTTTTTTTTTATATATATTTTATATCCTGTAATGCCACTGTAAAAACCACCGAAAAATTACGAGAAACCGCTAAAAATTGGATTTTAATTTCTAACGCTTTGTTTATTACCATAGAAATGAATAAAAAAATAATAATATTATAATATTAATTGATAGAATATCATTGAATTCAAGTTTAATACAATCCATTATAATATATGTATTGATGCACTTGTAATCTACTGTACAGCAGAGTGACATCCACTTACCTACTTTTTAAATGTAATAAGTAATAACACAACAGTTGTGTCACAACTGTACAGTTCCGGATATAACATCACGTAATCACGTTAATCTGCACATAAAATTAAATATTTTTAAGTAACAACAAGAACGGCGAGAAAATGGGTAAACAAATTTTTCATCACACAGTTAAATGTACCGTAAATTCTTTGAAAAAGTAAATATTAATTAATAAATTCAAATAATATTACTATTGAATACAATATGCATTTATTATTTCTCTGTTAACAGGATGTCAGCGCACTATTTGTTTTCTCTCTCTGGCCCACGCGCAGCATAGACAAAACGCATGAATGCAGAATAATTTTTTCTATGTTTTAAGTAATCTTAGAGTAAAATCACCTATTACAAAAAAGATAGAGAATAATATTTTTGAGGGAATGTCATATCGATTTTATATTTTATTGTTATTTGACTTTGTATTCGACTTTCAAAATAAACAAAAAAAGTTGTACATTAAAATGATGTTTAAATTGTTTTGAGACAATATTTAGACAAATCGATATAACATTCCCTCAAAAATATTATTCTCTATCTTTTTTTGTGATGGGTGATTTTACTCTAAGATTACTTAAAAACATAGAAAAAATGTTTCTGCGTAAATGTGTTTTGTCTATGTTGCGCGTGGGTCAGAGAGAGAAAACAAATAGTGCGCTGACATCCTCTTAATGGGTTACGGACATTAAAAAAATATCCATAGGCAGATTTTAATTTATAAAAATAAATACCTACATATTTATATAATACTTTGTTTATAATGTTAATAATTGTAAATAACTGTTTAGCTCAATAGCTTAAGACAACTGTTTAGTTAAGCTCAAGAGGCTCCTACGGTTGTAGTGGTCGGCCTCAATGACTACACCACCGAAACCAACACTAATGCTGTACTGTATCAGAACCAGTGATTCAATAATATTGTCAGTCTATAACCATATACAATGATTTACTGGCGAAGATGTCTCTTTTTCCAGCCAAGAGAATAAAAATTTAACTATCAGCAGTTAGCACATATTATGACAGTTGTTTACATTAGTAAATAATTAATATTTTATAATGTGAAGACGCTACAGATGTCCATATAGATACGTACTATATGGATATCTGTGGACAACGCACATAAAAAACACAGCGCACTCAGGTCGTTCGCCTCAACTGGTTCGGGTACCGACTACTAAGTTGCGAACTCGTCCTCTACCGTCTACCCAGTCGGCAGCAGTCACGTTACCACTTATCGATGAGATATATAACGGGACTCGAACACCACGCAGAATGTCTTCACGGACTCTGGCCGGTCAAATCTTTTGTGCCTCTCGCCAAAATGATAATGATAGCACAATATTTACGAGCGCCTCCAACGACCATCTGTTCTCGGCGATAGCAGTTCCACCCACGTCGAGGTCCACACGTATAGACTACCTATATCAAATACTCAAATACGCGATACCGGACACGGGCCCGACCAGACGTGTTTAACACCAACATGAAACAAAACCACCTGTGACACGTCGTGTATCGGTCGTGCAACGTACCGAAATCGTCGTAATAACGGCATAGCGGCTTAACGCAGAATACAGTTGCAGAAAACGACGCACCTCAAACAACGAAGTCGCTAACAAAGGCGAATGACTACAAAGAGCCGTAGATCTAGGCTGGAATAAATGCTCAACGACGGACCGTAACTCGGCAAAGGTCGTCGGGTGACTAACTGTAGGAACCCGGTGTAGGCGACCGGTTCCCCACCCCGCAACCTTGTCAGTTGCGTAGACATGATTTCTGAAAGGGGGGGAGGTCAAAAAAAGAAAACAATATAGCTAAATGGGAGGTGAAAATTGGAAAATCCCCCACTCTCTCAAAACTTTTTACCAAGGGAATAAAAAGCCGATGGAGGGATCTGACACCCCCCTCCTTGTCTACGTCACTGAATCTTGTCATATAGTAGTTATAAACATTTATAGTAATATATATAGTTAGATATGGGCAAAATGCTTTGAATATCGATGTTCGATGTAGGAATCGATGCATCGAAATTTATTTAAAACTTCGATTGTTTAGATGTACCTATCGGATTCTTGGAAAAAACGTCGATGTTTTTCGTTGTTTAATAAAAAAAAATTTTAAATTATTTTTTAAGCGTTCCATCACGAGTAAAACAATTTGTAAATTAAGATTATATTTTTTCTCATAGATTTACGCGGACCTTTCATGTTAGTATGTTGTATGTACTATGTTTCAAATTAATTATTTTTTAAAAATATAAGTTCAACTAGTTCAAGTATTTAAAAAAAAGGTACAATATGAAAAAAAAAAACATCGATATTCTTTTCGATACATCGAAGACTTAAGTCTTGTGTATACAACAAAAACCTCGATGTTTTCAAAACAATAAAACTACGATGTCTTTTGCCCACCTCTGGTAGTTATATTTACAGGTTAGGTACGTTCTTATTCCGCGCTGAGTATAGGCCAGCTGGTGTCTAGACGGCGGACGTGCGTTATGTGCTTACCGGCGACACCATAATATGCTAGCACAGAACAATTTATTCAATAATCTGATATCTGCAGTGTGCACATGTAAAGCTATATGCTTATTGAGATAAAATTATGAACTGACCGAACAAACGAATAAATAAAAACGCAGTTTGCTGTTTACGATAAATTTCAGTAATTCTATATTATGCATGTATTTTTACATGTTTTTTTTCCGTAAAATTAGTGGTCAAACTCTTCGTTTTACTTTACATACTTATTCAAACTGATCTAACTTCCCAACCTTTTACGAATTTGACGATTGTTCGTCCATAGGTAAATTATTAAAAAATATGAACACCAGGTACTATACCTAGTGATGTAAATTTGTATAATACAAACGTATAATATCGTATTATACTGGTATTATACAAGCTGTATAGAATTATTTTATACAATGGTATAAAATCTGTATAAAACTTTTTAATTTATTAAACATTTATTTTAGTTATTATTTAGAAAAAAAAACCAAAATAGTTATTTATGTTTATTAAAATTTTTAATTATTACTTTGCTTGTTGACATTGTTATTACTTTTGAATTTAATTAATATTAATTTTCTTATTTGTATTAATAAGATTCAATTTTCAAATGGGAAATGGACAATAGTTGAGTAACCAAGTTTAAATTGTATAAATGTACCTATAATATATATTTTAATACAGGATTTTATACCGTATAAAATGTGTATAATACGGCATAATACGGTATAATACAAAAAATTATTATACCCTACTTAAATACAACAATATTATACAAAGTTTAATACACGTATAATACAATTTATAATACGGTATAATACAAAAATAAAATAATATACCGTATTTTAACAACACTAACTATACCTATATACTATAGACCTATCTACTTTATGAATCGCAATCGATATTAAAATGTTTTGTAATGAAGCTGTCCAATTTCATTGAATGTTACACGATTTGAGCAGTGGCGTGTCCAGAACTTTGTTTGTGGATGGGCCACAAAAATTAAGTTCAGAATGGTTATACCCCCTCCTCATACTATAATTTGATCTATTTATAAGTTTTAGTATTTTAAATTTTTATTCTAAATGACTAATTTTAATATTTTTATTCCAGAATATCGTTTTGGATTAAATTTGATGTGTACTTGGCATTTTTTGGAAGTAACATCAGATTTGATTCAAAGTTCTAGTTTTCTAAACTTGACAGTATAACCAACTCCAAAAAATTCCCTGTGACATTAAAATCATATAGGTATATTAGATTAAAATATTATTAATTATTTACCACCGAATAACTTGAAAACATTAAATAACATAAAAAAGTATTAATATTTGATAAGTAAATGAACATATTATACAATTTAAATTAATTAAATATTTTAGAAAACATTATATTTAAGCAGTTATTAGGTAGACACATAATTTGATGATATTTATTATTTTAGAAAACATTGAAAACTCACTGATCTCTGTACCTCAAAAACTACACAACGTACGAACTTGAAATTTGGAATAGAGGTTCTTCTCATATTTTCACCGCTACCAAGAAAGGATTTTCAAAAATGTTGCGTTTTAGTGGAGTAATTAACAATTATAATTAATTACCGGCAATACGTATATACGGTGGCCCTCGAGTTTCCGGCTACCTGTAACCTATCCTTTTTGTTCGAAGGTCAACGATAAGAATTGTTTCGAGAAGTTTATTGATAAAAATAATGTCATGCATCACGCGTACAACAACACTCCAATTATATTTTAAACGATTAAAATGCACACCAATAACATAAACAAATACCCATACATATTCTATTGATCTAGATACGCAATAAGAAAGGAGTTTCTGCTATTCGCTTTTTTAAGAGGTGGCAAAACAGGGTTCTTAAGATTCACGGTGGAAATCGAAACTTTTTTTTTTGTTTATTTTTTAGTTTATATTGTTTTGTGGAAAACTAAATATAAAAAAATTTAATAAATAAATACAATAATAAATAATAGTTAAATTAAGAAAATAAAAAAATAAAAAATAGAATAGTTTACACATAGGTATAGGTACAACTCCTAGGTATAACTATACAAATTAATATACTTTAATAAAGTTACTGGAAGAAAAAAAAACCAATAGGAAAAGCAACTATTTTATATGGGAAATTTTTATGGACGTAGGAATTACTGATATACCTAAATATTAAGGAGAAATTAGTGAAATTTATTGGCGGGGGGAGGCTTAAGAGTGTGGTACTGTGGTCTCCACCTACTTAATATTTTTTTATAGTAAACAAATTTTAGTTGTGTAAACATTGTTTATTGACTACCTATGGATTAAGAAGAACTTGGTATTTTTGTATAATTAAACGAAAAAAAAACTCAAAACGAAATAATTTATAAGCTATAATTGTAGTAATAGTTCGTGCAATAATAATTTACGTTGAAACTTGTTTTAAATTTTCAATTCTTAGCTATAAAAGTTGAACATTATATACATTTTGAATTACTAAATAATTTGTAAATTTTCAATGTTTGATAAATTTCGCCAAAATTTGAACTTTAAATGCTTTTAAAAAAAACGGTGAAAAAGTATTTTTAATATTTTCAAATGCTATTGTAATAAATTATCAGGAGCCTTGTACTAAATTTTCTCGCTTTTTGGCCCAACAAATAAAATTTTATTGACATTCATAGAAATAAAAACTAAATAAAATGAAATTGAAAATGATCGTTAACAGCTCAAAACAAATCAACATTTTTGAAAATTTTATTGAGTATGGAAAATGTTAATATAAAGAACCATGTGAAAACTTCATATATTTACTGTCATTCGTTTTAGAGTTACACCAAAAACCAAAATCGATTTTGTCAATAGTAATTTTTTTTTTGTTATTCTTGGCACTTTTTTTAAATTACTGGGAATTTTAAATGTTGACCGCCCCATGCACCAACAATATTCACTTTCCCGTCGAACAAGATACTGAAATTGAAAATGAAAGATTATTTCGACTACTTTATATCGTGTGAACAGACACACAAAAAAAAACACATCATTGTAAAATCAATACATACATCGCAGAATCTAAAAAGGTCGTATATTGAGTTGCTGTATAATTCACAAATTTAAATAATTATATTACAACAACACCAAGTGTATGAATATAAAATATAAATGTCAGCCTGCTCGGCTCTGAATATACAACAACAATATAATGATAATACGCAATATAATATGGCAAGCTATTTGAGCGGCTAAAAAATAATAGGTATGTGGCTTAGCAACACAATAATGCAAGAAAATAAATAATAAATAAATAGATAATGCTGTAATCAGAGCTGTAATATAAATATAATTAGTGTTTGAAGTATGTGAAATATTTCACAAAAACGTGAAACATTGAAATTTTTTTAACACAAATAAAAACACAATTTATTTATTTTTTAACACAATGTTCAGTGTTCTAAATTCTAATGTCAGAATTCAGTAAGTTTAAAATATACATGTATAATATTGTATACCTACTTATATCATTTAAACATTAAAATATTTAAAAATTTTGAATACCAATTTAAATGTATAATACCAAAGGTTAGGTATACATACAGGTACCATATAGTGATGAAGGTAATTTATGACAATTATATGTAAATATAAAACTTATTTAAAAATAAAACAAAATCTATTAAAATACTGAAATATTTCACATATTTTGAAATATTTCATGAAATATTTCATTTTTTTAAATTTCATTAAATTTTCAAACACTAAATATAATAACAACAATTCACAGCAATGTGCAAATTTCAAGTAGTCATAGGTACTTACAATGTGATGGTGTGTGGTCTGGCCAGTCGCAATCCTCAAAATGTGTTTCTGGTGGAAAATATTTTTTGATATTTTCAACACTGGCCACTGTACAAGAATTGCCAGCAAACAATTCGTCTATGATACCCTGCGTTTTACAACGGAACTTGAGATGAGTAGAAGAATTCTGATTAATAGGGAAATGTGAACTAAGCGTTTCATGTGGCCAAAAATCCTCAAAATGTGTTTCTGGTGGAAAATATTTTTTGATATTATCAACACTGGCCACTGTGCAAGAGTCACCAGCAAACAATTCATCTCTGATACATTGCATTTTACAATTGAACTTGAGATGAGTAGAAGAATTCTGATTAATAGGGAAATATGAATTAAGCGTCTCATGTGGCCAAAAATCCTCAAAATGTGTTTCTGGTGGAAAATATTTTTTGATATTATCAACACTGACCACTGTGCAAGAGCTACCAGCAAACAATTCATCTCTGATACCCTGCACTTTCCAACAGAACTTGAGATAGGCCAAGTTCCAATCTTTTATTTTTATAGCTCGATCTATTAGGTTTTGTTTTTCCTTTTTAAAGTAGAATAGTGGTACATATTTTTGGTTATCTATAATACAATATGGAACAATAGATTCAAAGTTATCAATTTGTATAAAACCGCATTTTTTATCTTGACCTTTTTTATTTTTGCACAGTAATCTATAATAACATACATTTATGAATGTATAAAATTCATGAACATCTTTTAAACTGACAATATAATTTTCTCCTGCTAAGAACCTCTCTTTCCCAAATGTAAAATTATTAAGTTCTTGATTAATGACATTTAGTATAAGCCTTGCTTCATCATCAGTGATATAGATCCATCCCAGAATCGAAGAGCATATATACATATCTAAATGTACATATTTTAAATAGATATTAAGGAGCTGAGTTACAGAAGGCGTGGAAGGTACAAGTTCAACTATTGCTTTCCAAAATAATCTACCTATATTGTACAAAAGAACATAAATTATAAATTATTTCCATGGGTAATTTCAAAACATAAATTAATTACCGATTACTTACCATTTATACTTTCATTACGACATTTTTTTTACTGTATTCTTTCTGAAATCCATTTTCGCTAAAAACCAATAAATCATATTATATTATGTTTAAATATTATTTAGAAAATATCAAAATACAAAGAGACCAAGATCCTAGATGTATTGATTTTACAAGTATGTGTGTGCGTAAATCCACAATAAATGTTCGTGAGTTTCTAAAATTAGAATTTTGATAAAATTCATCAACATTTTTACCAGTAAATTAACAATTTTGTTTTAATTCAAAAATTATTATAACAGCTCTCATTAAGCACTGGGCATTCTTCATGAAGCAACTTAAAATGATTTTCATCATTTTTAAAAACTTCACGACTAAGCCCCGTTGTGGGAAAAATTTTATTCGTACATAAGACCAAATATTAGCTGATAATATTATTGAAAAAACCACCAAAAGTGAAGATGGGGTACCTGAATTGCCTATCTAATACGCCGCGTTAACATAATTCTATTATTGAAATTTTAAATATTGAGCAGCGCTGACCCTGTAGTTAGGTATCAAAATTAGTAATTACGTGTATCAAAGATACAATTTGTATCTTGAATCGTGGTACATAGTTTTAAAGTATCAGGTAGGTATCATGTATCATGCTTTATGATACGTTATCCGCCAAACTCCGTGTAAAAAACGGTAAGTACAAAAAAAAAAAAAAAAACAGCTCTAAAAGTTGTGATATAATTTTATAGCTAAGTCATTGAACTATTCAACTATATATATAATTTATGTTAAAATAGTCTGCTAAATAATTGAAGGGAGCTTGTTTACTTAAATACACTTGATTAGTAATACTACACTACCTACCTATTTCATTGATAGTAGACTGTATTATTGTTATGTACTCATTATTGATTATAGTAGGCATTTTTTAAATTTTTTAACTTAAGTCTCCAAGCTAAGTTCAATTATTTGGCAGGCTATTTTAACATAAATGATATCTATAGTTCAATGACATAGCTATAAAATGATGTCACAACTTTCAAGCCGTTTTACCTTATCCTTGTTTTTTCTTTCTTTCAGTCAATTTATTAAAATTAAAGTGTATTAATTTGTATAGTTATACCTATGTGTTGTATGTGTAAATTACTATATTTTTACTTTCTTATTTGAATTTTTACAGTATTTATTTGTAGATTTTTTTTATATTTAGTTTTCCACAAAGAATTTAGTCATTTGTTATCTAGAATGTCTTCCAAATCGTCCAATATTTAATGAAATCAGACGGCCTTCTTTACAAAAGGTTTTGATATCGATCAAGGGCGCCCGCAGAAATTTTCACTGGGGGGGGGGCAAGGTGTATATTATACATATATTTATACATAGCCATAACATATTGGGTATAGTATTTTATAGTTTCATTACAAACTTAGTAAACAAACTGATGACACAATAATATGGTTAACTGTATATTTTCATCAAAATATTAAGAGACATCAAGAGCACTGAAAAAAAAATCTTATAAATCATTATTCATAATATTATAATATTAACTATCTAATTTTATAAAAATATTAAGATTATTGGTCATTAAATAAAAATTGTATGCGCCTTGGCTACATAGCAAATATTTTTATTATCATTGATCATCAGTGCTTCTGTCGTCATAATTTTTTGATATTTTATCAACAAACTTATCCATAAATGTATGTTTTCTTTTTGGTAGATTTATCTTAATTTAAATACGTGAAGGTATAAACTATAAAGTAACAACCTTGTTTTTGACTAGTAGGTAGGTACTTATAGTTATCAATAAGGCTATACCTATGGATCATACAAATTTGAAATTATAATTCAATTTTCGCAAACCAAAATAAAATATAAGTTGAATTGATAACTGCAAATTCACACATGACAATTTTATTCAATTAATCAATTATCGATCTATTTTATTAAAATGCTACAAAACATTTAAAAATATTTATAAAAATATACTGTAATATGGAAATATTGGCAAAAAAACGAGGGGGGATAGTTATATATATAGTAAGATATGGGCAAAATGCTTTGAATATCGATGTTCGATGTAGGTATCGATGCATCGAAATTTATTTAAAACTTCGATTGTTTAGATGTATCGGATTCTTGGAAAAAACCTCGATATTTTTCGTTGTTTAATAAAAAAAAATTTTAAATTATTTTTCAAGCGTTCTATCACGAATAAGACAATTTGCAAATTAAGATTATATTTTTTCTCATAGATTTACACGGACCTTTCATGTTAGTATGTACTATGTTTCAAATTAATTATTTTTTTAAAAATATAAGTTCAACTAGTTCAAGTATTTAAAAAAAAGGTACAATATGAAAAAAAAAAACATCGATATTCTTTTCGATACAACGAAGACTTTAGTCTTGTGTATCCAACAAAAACCTCGATGTTTTCAAAACAATAAAACATCGATGTCTTTTGCCCACCTTTGGTAGTTATATTTACAGGGTAGGTACGTTCTTATTCCGAGTATAGGCCAGCTGGTGTCTAGACGTCGGACGTGCGTTATGTGCTTACCGGCGACACCATAATATGCTAGCACAGAACAATTTATTCAATAATCTGATATCTTTAGTGTGCACATGAAAAGTGATATGCTTATTGAGATAAAATTATGAACTGACCGAACAAACGAATAAATAAAAACGCAGTTTGCTGTTTAGTGTTTACGATAAATTTCAGTAATTCTATATTATGCATGTATTTTTACATGGTTTTTTTTTCATAATATTAGTGGTCACTGGTCAAACTCTTCGTTTTACTTTACATACTTATTCAAACTGATCTAACTTGCCAACCTTTTACGAATTTGACGATTGTTCGTCCATTAGTAAGTTATTAAAAATTATGAACACTAGGTAGTAGGTACTATATACCTATAATATACTATAACCAGTATAACCTATATACCTACTATAGACTATACCTTTCTACTTTATGAATCACAATCGATATTAAAATGTTGTCCAATTTCATTGAATGTTACACGATTTGGAAGCAGTGGCGTGTCCAGAACTTTTTTTGTGGATGGGCCACAAAAATTAAGTTCAGGATGGTTTTACCCCCTCCTCATACTATAATTTGATCTATTTATAAGTTTTAGTATTTTAAATTTTTATTCTAAATGATTAATTTTAATATTTTTATTCCAGAATATCGTTTTGGATTAAATTTGATGTGTACTTGGCATTTTTTGGAAGTAACATCAGATTTGATTCAAAGTTCTAGTTTAACCAACTCCAAAAAATTCCCTATGACATTAAAACCATATATATTAGATTAAAATATTATTTATTATTTACCACAAAATAACTTGAAAATATTAAATAACATAAAAAAGTATTAATATTTGATAAGTAAATGATCATATTATACAATTTAAATTAATTAAATATTTTAGAAAACATTATATTTAAGCAGTTAATAGGTAGACACATAATTTGATAATATTTGTTATTTTAGAAAATATTGAAGTTCAAGTAGAAAATAAAAATATAATTAAAAGATATTAGTATACTAGTAATATTATATTGGTTTTGTGGAAAAAAAAAAGAATGAAATAGTAAATGAATTACCTTGATTTCTAAAATGCTCTATTTCTGTAGTAACACTAGCAGAACTATTAGAATATGTAGAATGATTGTCATCTGAAATTTTTAGCTAGGTATATAAAACACAAATTTATATTAAAATGTGTTATTTGATTTATTTAAACATGGTATATTTTAAACTTTGAAGAGTAAAAACGAATCGACATTAATCGACTACGGTCACACCGCAACTGATAATATTTATAAATTATTAATTAATAGCAACACACAGAGAAAGCAATGTTTATTACTATTAAAATATTTATAAGCACTAAAATCGTGGCACCCAAGGATTGGCTTATCCATGGGGTTTTCCCAACGTTATGTCGTTGTCGTTGACTATAATAATACTAATATACTGATAATATGAGTACATGTAAAATACTGATAATATGAGTACATGTAATCTATATATATATATAAAATCCAAATACCACTGACTCACTGATCTCTGTACCTCAAAAACAACAGAACGTACGAACTTGAAATTTAAAATAGAGGTTCTTCTCATATTTTCACCGCGCACCAAGAAAGGATTTTCAAAAATGTTGCGTTTTAGTGGAGTAATTAACAATTATAATTAAGGGGCCTCACTACCACGTCTTTTTTTTGTCAAAAACTACTGTTTCTAATTCCAACGATACGTATCGACAATTATAACGATTTTCATTCTGAAAAAATATTCTGATTGTCCGTAATATATACAAGGGAACAGTCGAGCCACATTTTTAATTTTTGTTATTTAAATTGCAATAAAAATTGTAAAATATTCAAAAAAAGTACAGAATTTTCACCTTAAATATTTAATTAACTAAATTTAATTTTAAAAATGTGCCTCGATCGATCCCTCTTACATGCTGTGGAAAATAAAAATATTTTATCAGAATTAAAATCGAGGTAATCGTTGAGACGTAATGTTGGAATTAGAATCGTATGTTTGAGTGAAAAATAAACATTTTTGCATGATCACAATATTATATATTGACATGTGTGTGCGAGTGCGTGCGAGAGCCCTCCGCACCGCTACAATTGACCCGCATGGACGCCACACACACTAATAATCATTTACGACTAACACGTAGATCTCGGGTGGCGACGACGAGATTAGAAATTGCGTAAATGATTCTCCTTAAATCAATGGCATTGCGAGGCCCCTTAATTACCCGCAATACGTATATACGGTGGCCCGCGAGTTTCCGGTTACCTGCAA